GTGGGGAGGGTATGGCTGTGGCTGGAAGCAGAGGGATGGCCCAGTTGCCCTTGCTTACCGTCCGGATGACCCGCAGGGAGGTCAGCGCCTCGTCATAGCCTCCCCAGTGTGACCAGTCAGGGTATTCCCCCTCCTCCAGCAGATACTGGTGGCCCCGGAAGCCTTCCTTCTCATAGCCAACCCAGCTTGGGGAGGGCGGAGGCAGACAGACAGACAGACAGACAGTCACAGGAGGCCCCTGGATGTGTAAGACAGCTGCCCCCGCTCCCAGGCGGCCCAGATCACTCCCCCGTCCCAGGGCAGAGGCCAGCGGGGAGGATAAGGTAGAAGGAAGGGTCCCGAGTCCTCACCAGCCTCCAAGAACTCGCAGGGACCCCACAGAGGCCAGGCGGGGGCTGTGGCTGTCCTCCGGCTGCTGAAGGTTGTAGATGTCTCGGCTCACTTCCCAGCTCTGGCCTTGAAAGCCTGGGGCCTCATACACCACAGCCTGGGGGAACGGGATGGTGGTGTTGGTGTGGGGAGGGATCTGGACCCAAACACACCCAGCCAGCCCAGGAGGGCTCTGCCCAGTACCAGCCCCTAGCCAGGCCCTCCCACGCCCTCACGGAGCTCCAGGCCCTCCCACGCCCTCACGGAGCTCCAGGCCCTAACTCCCATCTCTTCTCTGACCTCTGACCTGGTTCTTACACATCAAAAGCCATTTCCCAGTGAATCCATCAGGTTCCACCCTCCAAGCCCCAGCTTGTGGCTCCCAGGACCCTCCTCTCCTGTCCTCCAGTTCAGGCCAAATAGCCACCACACACATACACACAACCCACCCAAAGGCCCTTTTGGACCCAGAAACCCAGACTCTTACCTTGGGCTCCCCTGGCTTCTCCACTCTTGGGCAGCCCTGCAGAAGAGACAGAGCTGAGCCACCAGCCCAGAGGTGGGGGAAGGCAGATGGGGCTGGTGGCCTAAGATTTACTTGATCCTGAGGATCCTAAAAATGGCCAACCCCCCACCTCTCCTCCAATCCCATTCCCAGTAGGAGCTCCCAGGCCCTGCCTCTTCCCTCAGACTGCAGGACAAGGCCACTTGCGGCCACCTATTCCTTACCAAACTCAGGGGTTTCAAGGAGCCCACGCTGGGGTCTGATGCACCCCAGTCCTTGGAGGTGGGGTACTCTCCAGGCTCCAGGATGCAGGGAGTATCTTCAAAGAAGGGTTTGGGGTATAGCAGCCACCTGGGGGAGGCAGAGAGGTGGCTGAACCCCAGATACCCAGGGATACAGGCTGGTGAGTGGGAGGGAAGGTTCAGAGAGAAGAAGGGAGGGAGAGGCCTCTGTCAAGGGGACTCTGGAGGACACTTCAGGCCCCCATCATCCCGAGCAGTAGCCACTCCATCAGTGCCCCTTCCTCTGGCCTGGCCCTCCCTCCCTTCACACAGCAGCTGGAGAGTTCTTTCTCATGCGCAGACCTGCTTAAAGATCCCCAGTAATGTCCTGTTGGCCTCACAATACAATCCAGCCGCACAAAGAGGCCCTTCGGTCTGTCCCCTGCCTTCCTCCTGGGCCTCACAACTCCCCATTTGCTGCTTCCTCTGACCAGACTGAATTTTCAAAGCTGAGATCTCTCACCTCTGGGCCTTTGCAAGTGTTGTTTCCGTTTCTAGAGATACTCTTCCCCTGTTCATTCAATCAACAAATATTTAGGGGCCTCTATCCCATGCCAGGCTCTGCTTCAGGCAGGAAGGACTCTGAGCGAACTATACATGCACAACCCCTGCCCTCAGGGACCTATTCTTCCGGGCCAACTCCTCCCAGCGAGGCATCTCCTCCTCCTGGAAGGCTTCCGTGACTTCAGGCTGGTGCGGTGCTTTTCTGTGCTCCCACAGCTCCGTGCTCCCCCTCCTGGAACCCTGAACTGCCGCTCTCTGCTTATTTCCCTGTCCCCACCAGTAGACTGAGCACTTCTTGAGGCCAGGAACGGTCTCCTTTTGCCCAGCACCCAGCACAGTGAATGATAAATGGAGGGTTCCAGAGCAGCCCAGACTCACAGTCCTGCAGAGACAGTGGCAGATGCCACCTGCAGGGCCCTCTTCTGAATATGGGGGTCCTCCAAGGCCTGGGTTAGCTTCACTTGCTCCCCCTTGAGGCCCTCCTCGGAGTACAGGCTGATCTCTGGGGTAATGTAGTCCTGCAGAAGAGGGGTGGAAAAATGAAGTGTAAAGCGCCACCCCTCAGAGACTACCCCCTTCTGTACCTGCTTCCCCAAGTCTGCCCAGCCGGGGCTCCGGGGCCTTCTGGGAAAACTTTGTGACTGTCTCCCAGAAGCCAGGAGATAGACTGGGATGTATTCTTAAGCTTGACCAGACAACCCAAGACCAAAGCCCATGCTGGTCCCGCCCTGAACCTTGGGGATCTGAGACCAAAGTTCTCAGCAAGAGCCTGCCAAGTGCCATTGCCCTCCGCCTTCCCTCTGGTAACCCGGCTTCCAGCTGGTGGAGGGGTAGACGAGTTGGACAGCTGCTTCTGGAGGTCTAACTTTGACCATTCTTTTATGTACGATCCCTGCCTCTGTTCAGACCTGGAATACACTGAGTGTCCAATGCTGGATTAATCAAAGGAATCCAGGTCCACCTGACTTCAAAGCCCCTGTTTTTCTCTTGTACCTCATTACCTCCCACACAGTGATGACTTTATTGTGAGAAGATCACAATAAACTGTCCACAAACATTTCTGTGTTTCTGGAGAGGCTTTGAAAACACCCCTCCTTTGCATGGTTGGGCTACTGCCCTAGTTAAGAATCATCAGCTCTCGTATTCTCTTACCAGGAGGGCTGCAACAGCTCTGGACTCAGAGTTATTCCTCCTCTCATTAAAAACGAAACAAAACAGCCCAGTGGGCGTGGCTCAGTGGTTGAGCATCGATCTATGAACCAGGAGGTCATGGTTCAATTCCCACTCAGGTCACGATCCCCAGTAGGAGGTGTGCAGGAGGCAGCCAATCAATGATTCTCTCTCATCATTGATGTTTCTCTCTCTCTCCCTCTCCCTTCCTCTCTGAAATCAATAAAAATATTTTTTAAAACAAAACAAACATCTGATTGGCCCTGCTTTCTCTTCGGGTTCTCCCTAGCAGCCAAGATGGTTTTGTCAAACTTAATTTTGGTAGTTTGTAGACTACCACTTTACAAATATGAAACTGTAATATTGACTATGCCTTTACAAACCACACCCCCCTCCCTCAAAATTCAGAAGTGCTCCTCAGCTGGAAATCACAGCCCTTCCTGGTCTTCCTGCCTCTGGGATCCCCATCCAGTCTCTTCTCCTGGCAGCCGGAGGGGTGTTTATAAACTGCTAATCTGATTATATGGTTTTCCTGCTTCGAACCCCACCCTGAGACCCTAGCCTGACCCTGAGTCCTGCAGGGCAGAGGTCAGTCTCCTCCAGCCTTCACTGCCTGGCCTGGTGGCTGGCACACAGCAGACATTATGAAGCATGCTTGAGCCAATGAATGAACAATCATCCAAGGCACCTTGGGTCTTACTGTGGGCCTAAGAGCCCTGGGCTCTGAGGGGAGGGGAGCACCCATATCCACCCCACCTGTTTCTGCTATTCTAGCGAGTCCTTCTCCAGAGGCAGCTCAAACTTCCTCAGGCTGCTTTCCCAAGCTGGGGCTTGGCCCCTGCCTGCCCCTGCCTCCCCAAGCCAGGCTAGCGCTCCCCAGTTGGCTCCAAGGTCTGGAATCTATAGGCGAGTCCATAATAAGCCCCCTCTGCCCCCTACCCAGTACGAGTTGGAATCTCTGTCCCTGAGATTCCAACTCCCTCCTCACGGCCCGGGCCCAGGGGGACAGGGCAACATCTGGCTCCCAACCCCAGCCCGCTCACCCGGACGACTCTCCTGAGGGAGCCGATGCTGTGGATACTCCCCGCGGGCCCCGCGGCTCTGAGCTCCACATCTCCTTCAGGCAGGACCAGCTTCCGGCCCCGGAACTCTGGCTCTTCATACAGCACCCAGCTGTGGGCAGAGACCCAGGGTCACTGGGTTGGAGAGGATGTGCCCACCAGGCAGCATCTCTGGGTAGCTCAGGGGGGTTCTGCCAGGTTGGCCCGGGCACTTCTCGCTGTGCTTGCTGCCCCCGGTTCCCAGCACTCTGCACTCACCAGCCTCGGACCACTCTGATGGAGGCCACGGGGGCCCAGCTGGAGGCATCAGCAATGTCTTCCCAAACCTCCCTGCTGCTGCCTTGGCAGCCGGGCTCTGAGAAGAGGACCACCTGGACAAAACGCAGAGGGGGGTCCTCAGGCTCTGTTTGAGCTCCCGCCTCCTGCTGCCCCTCCCGAACACTGGCCCTCCACCCCCTACCTTTCCTGGCCTGGTGTTCAGCTTGCCCTGGGTCTTCGATGCCGGGCTCTGGAAGGGAGGCAGTGATAAGAAGTCTAATGGGTGCCTGCTTACTGCCTCCCACCACCTGCCATCCCAGGCATCCCACCTCCTCCCTGTTAGCCTCCACCCCCACAGAGGGCACCCACTTGTCCCAACCCACCCTGTCCAGGAGCTGGTCCCCTATCACTCCCCTTCTCCGGCTTCCAAGAGATTGGAGCCATTACGGTCTCTGGAATCGACCGTGCAAACCTCCTCTGTTTGGACAGGGAAACCGAGGCCCAGAGAGACGTGGCTTGCACAGGATCACACCAAGCCATACCGCAGGCCCAAACTTCTGCATCTGAAGACTCTGCCTCCCAGTACCATGGTCCTCATGCCTTCCAAACCCTGGTGAGGCCTGGCACCCTCCCTGGCCACCCACGGCCTCACTCACCCAGCCCTCAGAGGGCCTGGCGCACGGGGGCTTCTCTGGAGGCGACCTGTCACTGCAGAGCAGGGGCAGCTGTCCCGGCACCTTTCTGAGCCCTGGTGCCCCATGGGGAGGCAGAGCGGACAGTTTTGTGCCTAGTGATTCCGAGGGGGGGGCCTCCTTGGGGGCAGACACCATACCCCCAAAGAAAAGACTGCCTTCAAGACGGGAGGTGGGCCTCGTGCCCGCCTGCCGCTCTGGCCCTGGCTCCGGGTGGGAGCCCTTGGCGTCTGTGACATGCTTCTTCATCATCTCCAGAGGCGAGTAAGAGGCCTGGGGGGGCCTGGGAGGGAGGAAGTCCCAGGAGGGCCCGGGCCCAGCTTTCTCCTGCCTGCGCTGGAGCTTCTCATCATCACTCAGGTAGGGGTTCTCTGGCTGCTCCTCCTCCTCTTCCTCCTCCTCCTCCTCCTCCTCCTCCTCTTCCTCCTTTCCTTCCAGTGCGGGCACCTCCTGGGGGCTGGGTCCCAGCACCCAAGGCCTGGGCTGGTCCTCCTCGATAGGAGGCAGCGTGGCGTACATGGCCAGGTAGGAGGAGCGGGGGGCTCGCGGCAGCCTGTGGGTGCGGAGGATCTCAGGGGGCTCCATGCTCCGCAGGGTGTCCAGGAACATCTCCAGGTCAGCCGCCAGGACCAGCTCCTCCTCCTCCCTCGATGGCTCCGGGAGCATCTTGTCTTCAGTGGGGCCAGGGAGAAGCCGGGGCTCTTGGCTGGCCTCTGCTTCCATTGGCTCTGGGGCAGAGGGGCCTCCTGGGCTGGGGAGCACCTTGCCCACTGGGGAGGAGGGAGCAGGGAGAACAGCAGGACCCTGGACAACCTTTTTTTGGGTGGGAGATGAGACGGGGCTCCCTTCAGAGCCCTGGACAGCCTTATCCTCCTGGGGGGATGGGATAGCAGGAGCAATCAGGCCCTGAGCAGACTCTTCCTTGGTGAGGGAAGCGCCAAAGCTGCCTTCACTACCCTGGACAACCTCCTTTTGGGTGCTAGGCCTGTCTTCCGGGCCCTGGACAACCTTGGTTGGTTTGGGGGATGGGGCAGCGGGAGCACTAGGAGCCTGCACAACCTCTTTCTGGGTGGGGGAGGGGTCCGCAGGAGCATCAGGGCCCTGCACTATGTCTTTCTGGGTGAGGGAGAAGATGGGGACATTTTCAGGGTCCTGAACAACCTTATTCCTTGGGGAAGATGGAGCAGAAAGATTGTCTGGGCTAGAGACAGCCTTTCTTCTTGTAGGGGATGGGGGTTCTCCAGGGACCGTAACAACCTCACTCCTTACCCTGGGCATGATGGTGGCAGCAGGGGTATCTGTGAGCTCTTCCCTTTTTACAGAGGGCAGGGCCTGGGGTCCCCTGGGATCCAGAGCAGGCTGGGCCCTGGGGTGAGTGGGCACCACAGGCTGCTCAGGAAGGTGGTCTAGGCCCAGGGAGGGGGTATGGATCTGGATTCTGGGAGAAGAGGGTACTAAGGCGTGGCCCTGAGAGGTGAGGAGAGGGAGCTGGGTGGGGTTGGAGGCTCCCTGCACCCTTGGGACCTTATGGGCCTTGGCACCCAGAGCTTGGCCCTGGTCTTGGTCTGGATGGGCTGCAGGGGCCTCTTGGTTCTGAGGTGGGTGAGCACCCTCAGGGATGCCTGCAGGGGCCCGGACAGATCTGCCCTTTGGCTCTGTTGTCCCCGTCTCAGGCAGCTGCCCCTGGGCTGTGCCCTCTGTACTGCCCAGACCTGGACTCCTTGACACAGAAGCCATGGGCCTGGGAAGCCGGCTACTGAGCAGCTCCAGGGCCTGACTGCGGCTGGGCGAGCCCTCAGGCCTGTGGCCCACCACCACTGCCCGGACAGCATGGCGGCCCCTTGGCAGGGCCTCGCCCGGGAGCACTGGCTCCAAGGTCACAGAGCTGGTCACCCTTCGGTCCACATGCCCGCCTACCACCACAGTGGTCCGCACGGTGCGTGTCACCTGCCGCTCCTCACGGTTCACACATGGGTGGGGGCTCGGCTCACGGGGCCCCGGCAGGGGCACCAAGAGCTCCGTCCTGGCCATGGCTCCCAGGCGTGATGGCTCAGTCCTAGGGTCTTGGGAGCTGCCATCACCCTGGTCCACAGCCTCTTTCAGCCTCCTCGCCAGCCTTTTCTCCTTGGGGGGTAGTGTGTACTTCTTGGAAAAGATGGGCCCATGGCTCTGGCAGCTCTTGGAACCAGCCCCAACCGGGGGGGCTTGATGATTCACAGTCTCTTCTCTCCTTGCAGCGAAGCCATTGACTTTCTCTCCACGGGGGCTGTACTCAAACATCTCCTCCTGGGGGGCTTCCATCCGGGCGTCCGACACCAGGGACACCTTGTGAAAGTGATGTCTCACCTCTTCCTTGGCAGGGGGCCGCTGTCGCCACGTCAGCCTGGCACTCACCACCCGGGCCTCGGCCCGAGCTGGGGGCCCACCTGCCTCCTCCATGCTGGGCCCCAGCAACCTGTCCTGAAGTGTCCTTGGCTCCCTGTGGCCCAGCTCCCTGCAGATGGTGCCAGGAAAAAGAGAAACAGGGTCAAGGGTGTGCGGGTGGCTCCCTGTAGTACAGAATAACTACCTCTGCCAAGATCAGGGTGGGTACCCTCAGGCAAGTCATGTGACCTTTTGGACCTTTGTTTCTTCATCTGTAAAATGGGCATAATGCTCTCAGCCCTCTCCCCACTTTCAGGTGATCCCCTATGCCACCGTCCTTCCATGGATGAAGCTGTGGCCTGAGCCTGGATGGAGAGAAAGGCATATGGTCTGACCCACTGGTGTATGGATGGGGCTGGGACTCTAGTCCTCCAGGAGCCCCAAACTGGAAAACCAGAAAGCTAAAAACTAGGCAATTGTTCTGACCCTGTTCCTGCCATTGGAAGGCAAGGCAAGGCAAGGCAAGGCAAGGCAAGGCAAGGCAAGGCAAAGCAAGGCAAAGGAAGGGAAGGGAAGGGAAGACGGACTTTGGCCTTGAGCAGAGCTGGGTTTCCCCTGACTCTACCACTCACTAGCTAGATCACCTGAGTGGCCACTCTTCCCCTTCAGGCATCAGGGCTCCAAGCCACAAAATCTATAATAATAAAAGTGTAATATGCTAATCAGACCAGATGTCCTTCCAGACGAAGCTGAGGTTGAGAGGGAAGCCCTGGTCCCGGGTGCCAGAGGGAAGCCGGTACCGGCAGCTGGGGGAAGGAAGGCCTACTCTTGCACAAATTTCATGCATCAGGCCTCTAGTGTTATAATAAGAGTATGTGCTTCATAGGGTTATTGTCAGGATAAAATAAGAGAGAAAGAACAAAAACTCATCTTATAAACGAAAATGCTGGCTCACAAACTTCGCGGTGTCCCCTGGGAGAACTGTGAGCAAACACCAGCAGGTGTGCGTGTGTGTACTAGCACCAGCACGCGGCGTGACCTTCTGGTACATCTGTGGGTCTTAGTGAAACTCCTCGGGACCCAGCACTTTGGACTTGCATGCACTTTCCCTCAATGTTCTCCTCTATGAGTGTTTCCCCCATCGTACAGATGAAGAAACCCAGGGCCAGAGAAGAGGAGTGACTGGCCCAGGATGATGCACCTGCAAAATTGCAAGCTGAGGTTTAGCTAAGTCCATGACTAGGCATCTTCCCTCCTGGCCCTGAGGCCAAGGCTCTGAGCACATCCAGCTGTGCTACGGTCCTCTCCCGCAGAGCACATCTTACCTTCCCTCTCTTTTTTTTTTTTTAAATATTTTATTGATTTTTTTACAGAGAGGAAGGGAGAGGGATAGAGAGCTAGAAACATCGATCAGAGAGAAACATAGATCGGCTGCCTCCCGCACACCCCCCACTGGGGATGTGCCCGCAACCAAGGTACATGCTCTTGACCAGAATCGAACCTGGGACCCCTGAGTCCGCAGGCCGACGCTCTATCCACTGAGCCGAACCGGTTAGGGCCTCTTTTAAGGTCTTATTTCTTCTCTGAACCTCCTTGATCTCTGGGTCTCCATTACCTCCTTTATTAAATAGGGGGTGATAATAACAACTGTCTGAGGAGACTTCTAAGCTCCCTAGGAACTCTCTGGTGAACCTGTTTTAATAGTGACAGCAACAACAACAGCCATCTGTTGAGGGCTTACTCCGTGCCAAACACCTTGCTAACTCCTTTACGTCCATTGCCCTATGGAATCCTCAAAAGAACTCCATGCACTTGAGAACTCCTAAAGAGTACGGTATTAATAAATTATGAACAAACATTCCCGTTTAGCAGATGAGGGCAGGGGGAACGTTCATGAGGGTTAAGAAACTTGCCCAGAGTTACACAGTAGCAGAGGCAAGTCTTGAATGCCAGCCCTGGGTGCTTAATCACCATACAAAACTCCCTAATGTATTTACCTGGCCAATTGAGATGCAATGGTTTGGAAATGTGCTTTTAAAGGGGGTTACAGCCCTGACTGGTTTGGCTCAGTGGATAGAGCGTCGGCCTGCAGACTCAAGGGTCCCAGGTTTGATTCCGGTCAAGGGCATGTACCTTGGTTGCGGGCACATCCCCAGTGGGGAGTGTGCAGGAGGCAGCTGATTGATGTTTCTCTCTCATCGATGTTTCTAACTCTCTATCCCTCTCCCTTCCTCTCTGTAAAAAATCAATAAAATATATATTAAAAAAATAAAAAAATAAAAGGGGTTACAGCAGGCCTGGAGGGGCCATCCAGCCCCCACTCTGACTTCCAAGTCACACTGACCAGGGCAGCTGACCAGGGCAATCTATTTTCAGGCCCCAAGTGAAGTCAACCTGTTCATCCCCAGCCTCAGGCCCAACCTGTCTTCAGGTCCGCTCCTCCCCTTCACTAGGCATCCCTTAGACCACTATAAAGGAAGTTAAGACCAGAAATGGACCCATGCCCCCAGCTTCCCTCCCCCATCTCATTCTTCCTCTCTACTAAGCTGGTGGAACCCAGAACTTTGACCCTGCCCTGTGGCCCCAGCAGTGACTCAGGTTTTATGAGGGGCAAAGATGAAAGGGGCTGAGGCCTAGGGAAGCCTGGCCTGACTCAGGGACCGCTGGTAGCTATGACAGCATGTGGCCTGGCCCGAGACAGGGTCTGAGTGGCCCCAGAAAAGCCTTGTGTGTGGGAAAGGTGGTGGGCTGAGATGGAGTCCCAATCCTTTCCCCAGGCAGAATTCCTGAGAGCAGGACACACTCAGACACCTTAGGCCCTGGATTCCTAGCCCTTCACTGAGGCCCTGACCCTCTCCCTCGTTCTCACTAAGGAGCCCCCTTTCTTCTAACAGAACCCCTGTCCTTGCTGGGATTTCCCCCACATGGAGCTTCACCCCCTCTCTCCCCCTGAGTCTCCTCTTCATTTCTGAAAAACAATAATAGCAACTACTATTTGCTGAGATTCCCTGTCCCTAATGGCATTAATAGTAAGGGGCAAAGCCAGGGTTCTAAGTCATTTATTCGTTCATTCACTCATTCACTTATTCATTCATTCAATGCTAATTGTGCTAGGTGATGCCCTAGTCCAGTGATGGCGAACCTATGACATGCGTGAACTCATTTTTTTGGTTGATTTTTCTTTGTTAAATGGCATTTAAATATATAAAATAAATATCAAAATATAAATCTTTGTTTTACTATGGTTGCAAATATCAAAAAATTTCTATATGTGACACAGCACCAGAGTTAAGTTAGGGTTTTTCAAAATGCTGACACGCCGAGCTCAACAGGTTCGCCATCACTGCCCTAGTCCCTGATTAGGTTCATCCAAAGCCAACTTTCCCATGAAGAGTCCAGGGAGTCCAGGGGTCAACAAATTACCATAAAAACAGGAACCACATTTGGAAGGCCCCATAGGCTTTGGCAAAGCAACAGGAAATCCGCTTCACAGGAAGCCATTGATAGTCAAATTAGATATTGTCAGTGACCTCCCAATAATCAGAATGCAATGCCTCTCTCACCCCAACCCAGCCCCTGGACAACACCCCTGACAGACACTCATTCCACAAGCATGCGGTCACTCGCTTCTGCTTGCACACCTCTAGGGATAGGGAGGTCACCATCTGACAGTTGACCTGACCAATCCCTGGACAGTCATGACTGCTAGAATGTTCCTCACACTATGCTGGAATCTGCCTGCATATAGCTCCCCTTTTTGTCTTTGCTTTGAAGACACACCCCAATGACCCAGGCCAGCAGAAGTGCCCGTTCCCTCTCTTCTCCAGGGCCCCATCTCAGAAGTGAGTTGGTTGGCAGGGTAACCTGTGACCTCCACACAAGGTGTGGGGCTGGGAAGGGAGAGGCTGAGGAAGGGGCGGAGGGGAGTGTGGGAAAGAGCCTTGTCTAACCCAACAAGTCCTGGATTCTCCCCGCTTACCTGTGAGTCACCCCCAAACTAGGCCAAACCAGTCTACAGGCCCACATCCCACAAACACATGCTGCGTCACACCAGCACACACCGACACGCAGCCAGCCACCGGCACAGACCCAGGGAGCAGCACAGGCACAAAAACACAGACACTTACTAGTATGTTGACTTACACAGTCAAACACACAGTCAGAGCTACAAACACTCAAGAGACACAGCAACACACCAGTCACAGCCACGATGGCACAAGCACACATTCATAATGCACGCACACGGTCAATTCACAGCCTGCAGTCAAACACAGACACACAACCTTGAAGGCAGAGGCATTCCCCACCCCCTATATTCGCCAATCCTGCCCCAGAAACCCTGGGGACATAGGAGGAAGATGTCCCTGGAGGTCCGCTTCCTCCTCTCTAAGGGAACCCTAGCCTCCCGCCATAGGAGGAAGATGTCCCTGGAGGTCCGCTTCCTCCTAAGGGAACCCTAGCCTCCCGTCAGAGTCTGTCATTATCCACCTGGACCCGAAATAGCCGGGGAGTAGCAGGTACAGCCCCAGCCCCCCAGCTAAACCTATTGCTTCTGTCCTCTCTCCAAGGCCTTTCTCCTCCACCCCTTCCCTCACTCGGCAGCCCTCTCCCCGGCTGGGTCACCGAGCAGATCTGAGCCAGCCAAGCTCCCACATCTCCCTCCTCCTTGCCTCAGGACCAGTTACCTGCCTCCCATCCAGAGGCCGGGACATCCCTGGCACAGTGCCGCCAAATCTACCTCCACAGGGTAGAGAAAACCCTGGAGTCCGCACAGCAACCACACTCAACCCTCCCATCTGCACAGGGCCAACGAGGCCTCTGTGAGAGGCAGGATAGAGAAATGACTAGAGCACCGGCACCGCATTCAAATTCAGGCCCCTCACTTTCTGGTGGACTTTGAGCAAGTGATAGAACCTCTCTGAGCCTCAGTTCCCTACTGTAATCAGGGCATGGGGGTGTGGAGCAGGAATAGTCCTACTCCATGGGCTGTTGTGAGGATGAAACAGGATTATGTTTAGAAAACAAACCATAAATGACAGCCACCACCACATTAGGAACTTTTCAGAGCCCTGTGTGAGGCCCAGTGCCCCAGGGCCATATTCACCCCTTCTCAGGTGAGTTTTAGGGAACCCACTCTTTCACCTCTGAGCCCACCAAGCAGATTTGGGAGAATCATTTCAAAACACATAAAAATCGAGGCTTGGGAATCTCAGTGCCCGTTCCTGTGTTCGCTGACACAGAGCCTGGTAGGTAATTATTGCTGCGACTGAGGTGTTATTAATAAGCATCCCTGCTATTTTGGCAGCCCATCTCTCTGGAGTTCAAAGCATGATCCTGTAACTACCTCATCTCCAGCTACCAAATCTACTGGACAACTCAGGGACCAGAGAGGTTAAGCAATTTGCCCCAGGACACCCAGCACCTTGGCTAGTGCCTATTCCCAGGTGGGTTCTGTGGTCGCCTGAACAGAGCAGGGGGTGGTGGGTGTTGCTGAGGAGAAGGTGACCCCTCTCCCAGCCTCTTCATGAAGGCTCTCCCCCTCCTCAGATGGAGGGGGGAGGAGAGCAGCAGTGGGTTCTGGAGGTAGGCTGTGGGTGAGGGGAGGGAGAGGAAGGCAAGGTGAGTGGGGAGGGGATGGCAGAGTCAGTTCATGCTCAGGGAGCTGAATGAATGGGCCTGGAGTTGAAGAAGTGTGGAGGTGAGGCAGAGACCCCAGAAAGGGCAGCCAGGCTAGTTCTTCCTCCCACGGCCGCCCCACGTGGGGACAGACCTGTACTCACCGTGTGTGTTGGGACCCAGGTGTCCAGTGGGCCTGGATCTCCTGCTGCTGGGCCGTGCTCTTCTGATGCCGTGGGGCTCTTAGCCGGGGCTCCTGGGGCGGGTCAGTTGGGCACCCCGTGATGGGGCGGGGCCCCTGGGGAGGATCCAGCCAGGCCCTGAATTCCTCAGGGCAGAAGGGGTGAAGAGCTGGTTGGGCCGGTTTGGGCTCCCCACCCTCCTCCCCAGGTGTCAGCCCACGCCCCTGCAGGATGACAGTGATGTGGTAGCGGGTCTTCCTGGCAGAGGTTCGCTCCGGTAGGATCTGGGCTGGCTCTGGCAGTGCTGGCCCTGGGGTGGCAGGCTTGCCCTTTGCCCGCTCTGCCTTGGGAAAGGATGCTGGGTGGGGCGGCATGTCTTCCACGGTGGTGGGTGGCTCAGGATTCAGAGGGACCTCTGGGGCCATGTATGGGGGTTGCAGGCAAGTGCAGTCTGGGGTTTCCTGTTCCAAATGCCCAGGCACCGACACCGGGCATGAGTGGTGCCTGGCACCAGCAGGGTCTGCTGCCAGTGCTGGGCTCTCCAGCTCCATGGAGGGATAGTTGGCCATGTCAGAGGCGCTGCCCACAGCTGGCCTCTGGAGGCGCCCCAGGGGCTGAGCGAGCCCTCCTGAGCTGTGTCGTCGCTTCCAAAGCCAGGAACCTCGGCTCCCTTCCTGAAGGTCCCATTCTGAGCGGCTCTGGGCTTGGGTCTGAGGGAAAGCAGAGGCAGGGGCCTGGTGACAGCATCTTCCCCTGCCCTCCAGGTACCTCCTCACCCGACTGCCCTCCTTGCACCGGAGAAGCAGAGCTGTCCTAAGGGGAGGCGGCCAGGGCCATGAGAGCTGGGCAAAGGGGCAGAGCTCCGGGAAGGCCCTTCCCCACTCAACTCACACCTCCCGTTCTACAGTGAGGAAAGAGATCCAGAGAAGACACCGACATGAATAAAGTCACACACGAGGGCCCAACTCTCAGGTCAGCTGCTGCTTCCCCAGCTGCCCTGGGGATTAGGGGCTCGTGGGCATGCCTGCCACAGTGCCCATGGCCTCTGCCTGCAGCCACCTCCCCAGGACCCTCCCACCTGAGATCCCCAGACACACCTGGGTAGAGAGATGTACCTGGGACATGAGGGAGTCAGGGAAGAGGGTTCCCCTGAAAATGGGACACACCTGACCTGTGTCTGCTGTTTCCCCTGGGGCCAAGTCTGGCTGTGGGGGTGAGGGGAAAGGGCCCAGGATCCCAGACCCATAAGGACACTGCCCCCTTTGTCCTTCCACCCCTCAAAACCCAGTTTTCAAGGAGGTATTTATGCTCTGACAACAGAGGAGCCAAGTCTGGGTCAAAATTCCTTCTAGCAGGGACCCTTGATCCCAAATGTCTCCATTTACTCATCTGTGAAATAGGTGCAGCCTTTCATTCACCAGGGGCTGAACACCTCAAGAGACGGAAGAGGACAATGATTCCTGTGGGGGCCTGGAGCGAGGCGACCCGGGCTTGAATCCTAGCTCTGCTACTTCCTAGCTGCAATACCTCTTGCATCTCAGTTTCCCCGTGTGTAAAATTGGCGTGATGATAACAGTACCCGCTTCCTGGGAGTGCTGTGGAGATTTCATGAGATAATCTATGCAGAGCACCGGCACATAACGAGTACTCAATTACATGTGAGTAATTACTAATGGTATTCAGGACCACAGAGAGACACACGGCTGCTTGAGCCAACTCCAAGGGAAGGACACCCCGTGCTGCCCAATCCATGGCTCAGACGGGAAAACTGTGGCCAGAAGGTTAAGTCACTGGCCCAGCATCACCCCTGGGGGGGTCCATACCAGGAAGTGGGTTAAAAGGACAAAAGATGGGAGGGAGGTCAAGCTAAAGCAGGAAGTGTGGAAAAGGGGGTCCTGGGAACAGGCGGAGACCCTGCATGCCTCCCTGGGGCCCGGCATTAGGAAGCTCATTTTTCCTGAGCATCTAGACCCCACGCTGGATGTTCTACATCCATTACCTCATGTCTCACAGCAGCCCTGAGAGGCATTATTGTCCCCATTTTGCAGATGGAGAAACTGAGGTTCAGAGGTGAGGAGTGATCTGCCCTGGTTCACCCAGTGAATAAGTGACAAAGGGAGGATTAAAGAACTCCAGTTGCCTGACTTAGGAGTCAAGGTTCTCAGGGCCTGCCCCTCCCCCACCAGCCCCTTCCTGGCCTCCCCTTTGCCTTCTCTCCTACCTTGAGGCTGACATTGTTAGTGCTGCCCCGGCCTTGGGCCAGGTCAGGGCAACTCTGGCCACCCCAGGGCCTGAAAAGGAAGCACAGGGGGAAGGGAGTGAGGTGGCCTTCTCCTCTCCCACCCCAAGACCTGACCCAGCAGCCTCTCTCACTTCTCTCAGAGCCCACAGCCTGGATGAGCTCCTGAAATCTGGGGAAAGGGGGAGCTTGTACAGCAGCCTCCTCTCTGCTCCTTCCCGCACCTGTCCGCTCCACCCCCAGAGACAGAGAAAGAGGGCTGGGCTTGGAGAAAAGTGGGGACTAGGCCTGTATCAGGGCCAGAATACAGAAAAGTGACAGTGCCCCGATAATTCAAAAGCTCGCCATTTGCTGAAGCACTCCCTATGCCAGGCTCAGCACTGGGTATTGTGCCTACATGATCTCTCTTAAGCCTCAAAATAACCCTAAAAGGTGGATATTAGTGCCCCATTTTTCAGGTAAGGAAACAGAGGCCAGAGAGGTGAAGCCTAGAATCACACGACTAATGAGCCTTGGGAGTAAGACACTGGGACCATCCCACTCCGAAGGCTGGTTGGACATCACCACACGAATGGGGGGCAAGATGAGGATGTGCCTTGGCTGCCTCCTCCATGCACTCTGACTCCCACCCCGGGAAACCAGCAGGAATCGGAGGCTCGTGCCTCAGTCCCATTCTCACAGCTGTGAGAACTGAACCCAAGTGCATACATGGGATGTGTCATCATGCTACTGCAGGAGCCTACGCAGTCCCTCCCCTGCCCTCCACATCGCTGAATCACCTACGCCCCAACCCCACCTCCTCTCAAGTGGGGAAAGGGAGGGGCAGAGCCACCTGGGCCTATAGGGCAGGTTTCTGCCAGGCAGGGTAAAGGGAGAGGGCGTGTCTTCCAGCGGGGTAGGGCATGGCACTAGCAGGGTGTGGGCCCCCCCCCCCCCAGCTCACCCAGGCTTCCCAGCATAGGGTGGCTAGGCCCTCCCTGCCCCTCCCCTCTCTCTTTGGGGTGAGAGAGCAGTACAAACCCTTCCCCTCACTCTGCCTCCACCACGCCCCCATTCCTCCCAAGGTGAGCTGAAAACAGTTGTGTCATGATAAGATCAGAACAAATTGCTGGGTAACTGAACTGTAGAGACACACAAACACCCCACCCTCTTCTGGGATATAGGCCCAGGAGCTACTGGGGTCCTCGATTCCAGCTCCTAGCCATACACAGCCCCTTTTTCCTCCCATTCAAACATCAGCTGCCGGTGAATGGGCTCGGAGAGAAGAAGTCATTTGTTCCGGGTCACAGGGCCAGTGGCAGCGAGGCTGGGACAGACTCTGGCCCCCTGGCTTGCAGGCCTTCAGTCTCTCCAGGCAACAGAGCAGCCGAGGCTTCAGGATGTGAGCTCTGGAGTCAGACTGCCCAAGCTTGTCCTCCAGCCCCACCACTGCCCAGTCGTGTGGTGGACAGGGCACTTTGCCTCTCTGAACCTCCATTTCCACGTCTGAATCACACTGAACACCTGTCCCAGGGAGCTGCTGTGAGGAGTAAATGAGATCATTCAAGTGAGGCACTCAGCAAGCGGCAAAGAGAGGCTGATTGCTATTGCGACCTGGGATGACAGGGAAAACTCGCCGTGGCAACAAGGGCAAGTGCAGTGCCGCCTAAGACAACTCAGGAGCCGGTCACTCTCGTAACAAAGGGTCAGGAAGACCAGAGGGAACTGGCCTGTTAGTGGGAATCAAAGTCCACACAGGCGGAAGGAGTTACTGCATCGCCTTTAATCTCCTCCGTAAAGAAATTGTCTGCAGGCGGCTGGATGGGAGGGAGGTCAAGCTAAAGCAGCCTGACTTAAGGAAATCGCAAAAGTTGTTTTAAAGTTTCAAAAGAGCACAGGGACTTTATAAAGACCGTCTTCACATTTACACATCCAAAATCGACACATTGCCCTGACCGGTTTGGCTCAGTGGATAGAGCGTCGGTCTGCGGACTGAAGGGTCCCGGGTTCGATTCCGGTCAGGGGCATGTACCTTGGTTGCGGGCACATCCCCAGTAGGGAGTGTGCAGGAGGGGGCTGAATCGATGTTTCTCTCTCATCGATGTTTCTAACTCTCTCCCCCTCTCCCTTCCTCTCTGTAAAAAATTAATAAAATACAAAATCGACACATTTTTATGCTCCGAGACACTCACATCTCACATACGCTTATTTTAATATCTACTACACTCTCCGACGGACAGACAGCTACACACACACACACACACACACACACACACACACACACGAGGGCACCCACGCGGCCCTCCTCCATCCCTCACCTATCCCGGGCTCTGGCCTCCTCCGGGGTCCGCTTCCCCCTGCGCACCCCTAACCTGGCCAGGCGACGGACCCCCCAGGCCC